GTTTGTAGGCCAGTAGAGGAAGACACGACCTGTAAAGTTGTGGTGGAGGTGTTAGGCGGAGACAGGATCTGTTCAGGTTGGCGGATGCTTTCGGAAAAACACAGGACGGGGTCGCTTGTAGACCTGTAGGTGATTACGCAGGCGCCAGCAATTGGGTGAATAGCGTGGCCTTCTGCACATTGTGCGAGGAGGCATGAGACCATGCGGCTCACAGTGAGAAATGATTCTTGAAACGGGCATTGCAGTCAGGGCAGCTGTTTAAATTGTTGCGCCTTCTTTCATGCTTTCATGTTTTAAGGCCAGCTTCAATGTTTATGATCGCTGCAGTAAAAAGTGTTGCAAGGCACCATGGCATTCTGTAATCTCACGTGTCAAGGTGCGGCTCTTGAAACAGTTCTTTCAGGGGAGGTCGTGCACGACTACATGATTCTGCTGATATCGGAACGTGGAAGATTCAAGAAAAGCAGACAGCGCGTAGTTGTAGACAGCAGAGGAGCTCGTACTACTTGAACATTTAAAGTTACGGGTTGATAGAAGTCCTCTGAACCTATCGGAGCATGCGAGCTTTGGGGACACCTCCCGGGAAGCCGAGATAGTGCAAGTTCTCCGCACCAGAAGGTGCAGGGCTGCGCATGGGATCTGGTAGCCGGCTGGCGAAAGATAGAGCTTCAGGTGCAAAGGACATCCAGACAAGAGATCATAAAGCAAAGTTTAAGTTTGACGGCCACCCCCACCTCATGACCTGCCCAATTTCGTAGACCCTTAGTCCCAACAGCACAAAGCCAGATGGTCGGGCTGCTCAAAGCTCAAGTACTAAATTGCTGTGCGGCTCTGGATCTGGCGTGGTCGACACGCGTTATTAGCATGTGCCGCGAAAATTGAAAAGCAAGCCAAAAAGCATGTACCACTGCGTTGCTTTGCAGCCGAATCCTTGACCTGAACTGAAACCTCAAGGCATCTCAAGGCCCTTGACCGAAATCCGTGAAGTCTAAGCCCCGCTGCTTTGCCGAAGTATCTAAGCCCCAAGCAAGCCCAAACCTGAAAAGGGAACATGCCAAAGACTCGGATTGACGAAACCCTTTGTTCAGTTCCAGTTCCCAACCCCCACCCACCCCACCCCTCAATCTGCCCACACCCACTCCCTACATGCCACAAGGCTCAGCAACTTCATTCGTCCTACCAATGTGCCATCCTGTCAAGACCCTGAAGCTTTGCACCTTGAATCCGAAATCTCCACACCGGAACCCGAAAATCTCCGAAAAGGTCAGGTAACCCCGATACAAGCCCCAACAGCCTGGCCTGTGCAAGGCCGCAGCCCCCGTTCGGGAGGTTGCCCCGTGCAGGACCAAAGCGCGGGAGGCCAGGAATGTCAATGTTGCTGGATCGAGGCTTTCAGGGGCCAGTTACTGGTTACGTAGTTAGAGTCGCAGAGTTTGGGATTCGGGGTTGAGGATGTTGATGCTTAGTATTTATAATTTCGGTTAGGGCATGGAAAGTAATTTGGCGCAGGACTCTGATCTTGGACTTTCGGCTGGGCACCGGAGGACACCATGGGCGGCTTTTCTAGATACAGTTTTGTTTGCACGTTCGGGGGGCTGCAGTGAACTGTGAACTAGATAGACCCGTGCCCCGGTGAAACAGGCTAGTTGTCGAGAATCCATCAGCAGCCTGCAAATACACAAACGCGCGCACTGTAGGTCAGGACAGTTGGGCAGGTCACACTGCCCGGCCCTGTCTCATCCACAATTGTTGGAGTAGACGATCTGGCCGTAGAGCTGGGATTCACCTCTGGGAACTTCGGGGGAGCCTGGTTTCGTTGTGAGTCTCTTGCTTCAGCTGCTGCAGGAGACCTTGGGTTTTCATGAAGTGCAAGTACTTTTTTCCTGAGAGCTAGTCGGACACGCCTTAAAGATTTCATCTGAACATCCCGACACCTTCAACTTTATGCGAGAAACAACCCCCAGGCCGGGTTCGCAGCACTTGACCCAACTCACCCTACACCTTAAGCCCTAAACTGCCCTAAACCCTTAGTCTTAGCGCTCACCCTTTCATCTCTTTCGTTCTGTGGAGGCTGCTCCTTTGCCCCAGCCGGGCGTTGCATCCAGGGTGGGCGCCGCCCGCCCAGCCACAAGCTCGGACACATCTCAGCGCAAGGTGTGCTCCAAAATGTGCGTGTGTGTGTGTGTGTGTGTGTGTGTGTGTGTGTGTGTGTGTGTGTGTGTGTGTGTGTGTGTGTGTGTGTGTGTGTGTGTGTGTGTGTGTGTGTGTGTGTGTGTGGGGGGGGCATGAGTTGTTTATGTTTTGTGTTTATGACTCTTTTAGGGCTTCAACACCCCGCGCTTAGGCGCTCGCAACTCTCGACGGGCATGCGAAAATTCACTCAATAAGAAACGTGCAGTGATGTGCCGGGCAAGCTGTCTCAGCACAACCGTCACTTAAACCCCAAAGGTTGAACGGGTGGTTCGAGGCAAGTACAAAACGCAACTCGAAGCCCGAAGAAAACTCTTATCGCATCTACGAGCCAGCTTCGAAGGCGGAGGCGGCAGAGCGTGGAGCTACATGAAGTCACAGACTCTCCTACTGCAACTAATCCTAAAGCTAAAAATCTGGGATCCCCCAAAACGGGATCTGAAGCACAAGCAGGTCGGTACACTTACGACCGTGGCTTCCGAAAGTCGCCTCGGGGTCGGCGTTTCCCGACCACCGCAGGCACACAGAGGGGAGTTGTTGAGGCAAAGGGGCACAGAGCTTAGGAGATGAACCCACGGGAGGGGTTCATTGAGGGTACAGCGCACGGGTGGAGAGTTGAGGGGCAAAAAGACGGGATAGATCGAGGTGCGACTTGGAAAGGGGGATTCGTGTGTTGTTCTGCTGTTAGTTTGGTCACCAGGGGCGGTGATTTCAGGTGCAGTTTCGTGCGTCTACCTTCGGCAGTTCGCTTTCCCAGGGTAATTCTTTTGGGTCTCCCAATCCAAGAAACAGTTTACCCGCTTGGCAGCAGTTTGTGTGATGGTGTCTACACTCGGAGCGCTGAGGCCCTGATGAGAATTATCGTGGTTGTAATATGGTAGCCGCTCTGCAGCCTCAGCATCTTGCCCAGCAAGCTAAACGTCCACGTCGGGTCCTTCAACTGCTTGGATACTTGATTGGCTGTATGCTCGCTTCATAATATGCTTTCTGATGGCCTCATTTTGATTTCTCTTCCGAGCCTGGAGCACAAACTTGCAGTGTAGGAGTTTGGGCGGTCACTGGCATTGAGAAAGTGTGATGCACATAACCTGTAAACAAGAAGTATATGACACTAGTAGCCATAGTCAGCATATTGCTTGAACGGGCCCTGCAGAAACGACTTGCTTTGATCCGTTCTGAGCCTACTGCTGCCGCCAGGGCTCGCCACCCCCAAGGTGCGCAGGGTTGAAGGTGCTGATAGGGCACCCCGAGCATGAAGCAACTGAACTGATGTAGACGTTAGCTGCAGGAGATATGGTTTCATTGTAATGTAATGTTTGTTCAGGCTGGAGGAATCTGTGTGTGAAGACTGATTTTTGCGGATCGACACTGTCTCGACCATGTCGTACTCTCTGGTGCTGGATGTGATACTCAGTTCGGAGGTGCGGCAGGATGCGATTTGTGTTGCTTCGTTTGGTGCTTCCAAGCTCCATTTGGATTTGTTGCACTTCCACAGATGGGTGCTTCACTTAAGGTCAGGCTACGGTGAGCTGCCTGAAAGATGGCGCAAGCCAGTAGACAATGCAGAATGCCTGCCAAGTCTTTAACTCAAGCGCAGATTTGCCATTAACTCTACATCAGAAATCTTGGTGAAATTTTCGACGACCCACCCACTCTCGACTCCTTTACCCTTACACACTGCTTCCGGAATCTTACACTCGCGAAAACTGCCCCAGTCTCGACGCCCCAAAGGCAAAGTTTTCAGGTGAACCTCCAAATCAGAAGACCAAACACTCGAGCAAACAAGATCTACACGCCAGGTATCGAACCACGCCGGGACCCCGTGTGCCAGGCCTTGCACATGGCTGAGGGTTTGAGTTAAGCTGTGCGGGACTTGGGGTAGGGTTTTCAGATCTCAATCGCCAGGTTTCAGTTCGAGGTTGGGAGCTCAGGAGTTTGGGCAAGGTGAGTAACATTCTCCACATGGCAACTTCTTGGGCCGTCGTCGATAGGTATTCAGATTTTATGTCCAGGATGCATAGCTGAGATGAAGTTGCTGGTTTGGGTCAGCATGTTGGGCTTCAAGACACCCCCGATGGTACCTGCCCAATGCTTCCCCACGTGTGCTGCTGGTACCGGACACTTGACCAAACCTGCACACAAAAGAGAAAATAAACCTACATATCAAAAAGGCATGCTGCATGCCTATGACAAGTTGTTCAGGGTCCGGTCCGACTGTCGCGGGCTTGCGTTACGGTGCTCAGACCAACTGTATGCAGAGAAATCGTCGAGTAGTTGTGGTTTTAACATCGTCACGCACACACTAGCCTGTATCGAGCAGAACTTGCACTTCGTCCATGCTCCGAAGTTTACAGAGAGGCTGGACTTCGGCTTCGGTTTAGGTTGTCCGAACCACTGTACCGAGAAGTTGCTGAAACCGAGTTCTGCGTGTAGATCGGTCTCCTCCTCCTCCTCCTCCGCAGAGAAACTTGAGCAAGCTAGGTTTCGAAAGATCTGTTGGTACATGTGGCCGGTTATGACACGATGCGTGAAAGTTCCCGTCAGTTAAGCGTGCTGCTCCTTTTGGAGTTGGCCAGTAAGAACCCTCGACAGAAATACTAATACTAAGTCAAACCACTACCACGCACGGTACCTTGCATGGGTGTTGATTTTCGATAGGTTTTCCCATGGGTTCCGCAGAGAAACCAGATGCTCAATCGCCGTGGTTCACGGGACGGCGTCAGCCGGCACCTCACTTCAAGCTGGCTCCGGGTCAGTCAGTTCCCGTGTGCAGTTCCCCAAACACAGTAGTTTTCACGGAAGGCGGCTCCATGACCGTTGGCCCAGGCAAGGCTCTTGGAAGGGATTTGCCGATCTGCAAGTCCTGCCAACCTACCCGCAAGTTTTGGGTTTGGGATTTCGTCTTTCAGCCTGAGATTCAGGGTTGTGTTGGGGTTGCAACTACAAAGTCTCATGAGACGGAGGTCTCAGCAGATGTTCTGTCCTGCTTGTGCAGGCCTGCGATGCTTGAGGTCCCCGTGGCCGCGCGCATTTGCACGACGAGCCCTTTCCCGTTGCCCACAGGAATCCTAGACCTTGGTACCCCGGGCCGCATCTCAGGCCAGAACTGAACTGAAAATTAGCATAATCGCGATTTCAGATCTTGAGAAAGGATAAATGTTGCAAAGACCCGCAACTGTGGCGAGTCAGGGCTGATCTTGTGTCTCGCGTCAACTTGATAGAAGGTAGCGGAGGCAGCCTCCAGCTGATTCCGGCCACGGCAGCGCAGGTTGGATCGGTAAAGATTTGGGGCGCTAGGAAAAGCCATTGGACCTGGTTTTCTTGAACGGCATATTGCGGATTCGGCAGGTCTGTTTGTTGGTCGAAGTCCGGGGCGGCATTTTAGGGAGTCGGATCGGTTCGAGATGTTTTTGCGCTGATGTCGCTGGTAGTCCAGTCAACGTGAATTCAGCATAGTTCCGGTGACGCAACTCTCGAAGCCCTCATACGACTTACAACCTAAAACTCAAACCTCGGACATGTTGAGCACAGTGCAAGAGAACATGGATACCTGTCCAACCCCATGTCTGAACGGATATCGGACTCCCCCAACCATTGACATCACACTGCCCTCACGCAGACTACCGTGCAGATGGGCAGCCCCATCGCAGGCATTAGGAGCTCCTGTTTGGACATGTTTGCCTTAGTTCGTGTGCATAGTGTTTGCTCAAGCCTGGAAGCTCGTTGGGCTGCCGATGTTGGTGCCGGGAGTTCGTGTTGGACTTGACAGTGTCTGCCTTAGTTTGTTTCTGCCGTGGTCCTGGCTGCCGTGGTCCTCGATGGCGAATCCACTACCCTAACCTTGAAGCCCAGACCCTAATTCAAAACCCCAACACTCGATATTAGTGCCGTATTTCGTCTTCACCGCCTGGTGCCTTACTTCGGCTAACTAGCGCCGGGAGTTCTGGTGTAAGCTGAAAGACATAATTAATTGCAGAAGACAAGTTTGTTGGGTTCGCGACGGTTCGGATTTAGTGACCTGTTGATGCAAAGGGGTGGGTTTTTGCACATTCTGATGCCAGCAACAGGACGGCGACACCGAACCGAGCGACGATGTCTCCGGCGCCCCCGCTGAATTCGGGTTAGTCCAGCTTCGGGTGAGTTTTTTGCACGGGGAAAGCCTTTGAAGACAAGTTTGTCACAACTTGTGTGGCTCAGGGCTTCGCCTCATCCCTGGATCGACAAGGGAGAACGGTCCCGCTTCCCCCACGCCGTCAATGCGATCACAAGCCCCCACCAGGACCCGCCCGCCTTCCCAAGCCCCAAGCCCCAACCTACCAGCAGAAAAGTTGGCCTGGATGCAGCTTCTCACTAGTTTTCAGGTAGGTCGCAGGGACTTCAATGCTAGGTGATTGAAGGTAAGGGCATCGCATCGAAGATTTGGCCCGAGCCCGGATTCAACGATCTGCCATGCTCAAGACCTGGCAACAAAATCCTGAAGGGTTCGGCGGTCAAAATTTTCTACTCTACAGTATTCAACGAAGACTATATGTTTCGAAGGCCCGACACATTGGTGTTTTCGGTAAGATCGGGTCAGACAGGTGCTGATGACCCGGACCCTGTCTACGACGGCCTCCACCTGAGCCTTTCAAGCTTTCAATCTTCCAGCTCGCCCTTCACGTAATTTACTCGGAGATTGAGCTTTGCATTGCGAATTCTCCAGAGGACCTAGTCTACTTTTCAGAGTGCTTGGTGCTGCAGGCCCCGCCTGAGCCCTTTGAACCTTTACCGCTGATGCCAAGCCCCAAAATCCAACCTCAGTCCAAGGGGAACCTAGGGGAGGAATGCAGTACCATCATAACACATCAGTCTCCGTTGAGGGACTTAGCGTGTAGCAGAGTGTAGCAGGAACGCCGCATGGTATATCAGATTGATACGATCGCACGACAATGGCTCAACTTTAGTACGGTGGCCTGACTATGCAAGAGTGTGCTGTGTGCTAAGGAAATTCCTACGATTCCAAGTTTCCATCTCCAGACACTCTACGGTAAAGTTCCGCTTCGGAGTTAAGGTTTCGCAGCTTGGGTGGTTTAAGTTGAGGTGACTTGGTCTTCAAGCTGGACCTGCAAAACCGCAGAACTGAAAGCTTGTCCTGATCGCCCAGATCCATTCCCGAATCAACCAGCGACATGTTGATCTCTACGCAAACCTAGAACCTATAGTTTGCCTTCCAAGCCATTGCATTGATTCGCAGAGGCTGTGCGCAATCCTTCAGCACTCAAGGCGGGACTCTGCTGAGTTGTTGTGGCGTTGGAGGGCTGGTGGTTACTTGAAGCATCATCTCGCATGTGTCAGCCGGGTTCATTCACACAGCATTGCCAGCAGACTTGCCTTGTCACCGTCCATAGGACTTGTTTCACAACTCGCTGTGCACGCAAGTTGTGAAACGATGTGAAACGTAGACGACGCAGGCGCCTGGAGGCCAAAAATAGAGCTACCACAAGTCACTTGTGGTTTGTGCACTCGCTTTCATCGATTCCGTTGCTAAAGCTTCGGCCATTTTGCAGAGCTACTCTTCAGCGAATGCAAAGCGAAGCGGAACTTGCTTTTAAGCGCAGCCAGAGGAGTGAGAAGCAGAAACGCCACAAGAATTGAAATTACGGCTCAAATTCAGCCCGAAATCCAAACACCAGGCACCAGCTCCCAGCCCGGAGATCTCCAATCGTGCTGGGCTCGTCGGGTGTTGAGGCTTGAGGGGCGTTTAGGTCGCAAGGGGTTCTGGGGCTTGTGGATTTGGGGTTGCAAGGGGAGTGATGAATTGAATAAGCGTTGAGGTTTTGGGGGCTTGAACATTTGGGGCTAGTAAAGATTCAGTGACAGTATGGATTGGAGCATGGTGATTCAGGCAAAAGATGCTCAAAAGCTCTGGATGCTGAGCTTGGTCTTCAAGGGGTCAGTGAGTCAGAGCTGTTTGCGGACAGAGGTGGCCAGCGAGTGTAGGGTGGATTAAACCCTGCACACGCCCTCATCTTTTTGTGTTTGCAGACGATGCATCAACCCCAGAATAATTTGAACACTCTCTGAACCTTGTCCTTTACTACAATTTCAATGTCTGCGAAGATAGATCCGCCATGCCGCGACAAAATCCAAGGTGCCCTGGCCATGCACGCCCCAGCGCCTGCAGCCGTGTTGCGAGGCTGCCGCTCTGTCGGGTGGCCCAGGAAAGATTTCTAGAGGTCTAGAGTCCATCTTTTGGCAGAGGTTTTCGGTGCTATTTTGGCTTCACAGATCTTCACAGGCATCCTATTCTTGAGACCTGCACCCAGGACAGCAAAGCCTGATCAGGTGTGTGCTCAAATATGTTCGTCTCCTCTCATCGAAACAACATCCTAAACCCCAAAGCCTTATGCCAAAGTCAAAGAACCTCTTCAAAGTTGGAAGGCCTGCTTCTATATAAGGTCTGTAAATTTCACTCAGACTCGGCTTGAACCCATCGATCATGATGCGCAGGTACAACCCATGAATGTTGAAGGTTTTTGCCCTGAAGCAGTTGACTCGGGGCCTAAGGCGACCTGAAACCCACAACAAACTCGCGGAACCAGATCAGGCCGGGGAACTTCCACGGGGTGCCCACACTGCCTGGGCCGCCCCCGCTGCTGCGCAGAGCGGCAGCTGAGGCTTGGTTCTGTGGAGGTGGTTTCTATTGGATTTGGAGTCGGTTTCGGTTAGACGGATTGAGGTTTCATGGAAGGCATGATGTGAAGCGCTTGGATTGATGTGTGATGGATGGCATGATGTGAGGTTTCAGTGAGGATTTCATGAGGTTCTCCTATAATTTAAAGCACTGGGCACGCCAGTACTCGGTGAATCTGCCAGTGCATGGTGGGAAGCCTTTTGGACCTGGTCCTGCATCCCGTCAGTACATGCGGTGAAGCATGTTGGTCGAAGGTTACTAAGAGAAGCTTACTACAATAGGGAAAGTGTTGATAACAGAGTTTTAAAAGGGCGTAAGAGAAGTCTTTTTGAGGTTCTGTAGAAGTCTTTGCGGTAGGGTTCGTAAAAGGGTTCTTATAGAAGGCTTTGTAGAAGTGCTGTGTGGCTGGGTGAATGGTTGCTTGGAGTGATGGAGGGATGGAGAGACGGAGACAGAGAGGGGCGCATGGATGGATGGATGGATGCATGGATGGATGGGATGGAGGGATGGATGGATGGGTGAGATTATGCTAGATGTCGCTGCTCCAAGCGGCCCAAGCGCTTTCGGCACTTGTCCACATACACATTGACCTGTTCGGCTCTCTCCTACGGCCTGGTACGGTCTTAAAAACATCACCATCATCATCATCAAAAAGATCCGGACAGTAGCAAGGCGGGTCCTACAGTAGCCGTTAGACAGAACCCGAATAGGAACGCGAATTTCATAACCCGGTAACTACCCTCACAGAGGAGCCCTCAAGGCTACTGAAGCTTGGGAGGCAAAGCGCCTGCCTTGGCTCGTGAAGCTTCTGCAAGTACCTTGGCCTGCAGGGGAGAGCTATTGCAGGTGGTTTCATGAAGTTTTGTATGGGTGTTAGAAAGGTCATGATCATGGTTTCACAGGCATTTTTTCAGAGTGGAACCTTTTTTCAGAGTGGAACGAGTAGGTATAGGGACCAAAGCCATATCATCAGTAATTATTCGGGGTGCGGGGTTTAAGGGCCAACGTGCTAGAATAGAATGCTTCGCACTTTGGGGGTCAGGCTTTCATGGTTCAGAGATGTGGGGCAGGTTGAAGAGTTCATGATTCTGAGTCCTGGCTACGGTTGAGACGGTTAAGAAGTGGAGTCCAGGATTCAAGACTTTAGGGTTCAACGTCGGAGCTCGGACTGGGCTGTAGTGAATCGGTGCTTCGGTTTTTTGTAAAGATCGCAGCGTCGGATTCTCAAGTTGCGCTGTCAAACTTGATTTCAAGTATTCTTTCAGAAACGTTTCGAGCTTGGCAGGCAAGAAGATAGCCTGGATGTTCGTGTTGAAAGCACAAGGCTCTGGAGTGACGATGGTGCCTGTACGGAGATATGTTTGGACCTCGACAATGCATGTGTTTAATCCCGAGGTGATGGCAGCATAAGGCCCCGTAATAGTGAAGCCCAGAGCTCATGAGGTTGAGAGGGTCAGCAAACAGCGACGACCGTAATTCCTGAGCCCCGACTTCGAGGGTCCAATCCATGATATCCCAAGTTCCCAAGTCCCAAACACCTGCAGCAGACGGCCCTTGCAACCGTGTAGCCTGACACTGAATGAACACCCTTGGCACTTGGAATCCCCATGCGCCCTCAAGCTTTTTTGCATAAACCAGTCCTTGAACCTTCGCGATCCTCGTTCCTGCTACCTTTTCCTGCAGGCGAAGCTTCAATGTGAGAGCAGCGGCGTCCTGAACAGGTCCCAGCACATGTATCCCGGCCCGTTGACCACGCGTCTAGGTGTTTTCGGCCCTGTTGTTTTGGGAGTTTACGAAAATCAAGCAGTCGTGCTACGTTGAGCATATTTCAGTGGCTTTGCATCGCAGGGGCTCGTTCTTCTGATTTAGGGGGGATTGTCAGGAATGGTTTGTAACTTGTATTTGGATTTCAGATTATGGACACGATTGCTAGCACTTCGCAACCCGCCCAATCCAACATCTGGGAAGCACCAGATGCCAGTAGAGACCCTTGCAAACACGCTTGAAAGACCTTGAGCATTAAAGCCTTCAAATCTATCCTCAACCTGGAGTAGCCTGAAGCCATAGATCTCATTTTGAGGTTCTCAACCAGGACCCGAAACCTTCATGGCCCTCAAGTCGCGCAGTGACCCGTTCGGGCCGTCGCTTTGTGGTGGCCACCTGTGCCGCCCGCACTGTCTGCGGAAATTCCACCGAGGATGCGGAGCTCGAGGTGGGTTCTTCCAACTGAGGGATCCCTTAAGTGGTCCCGATTACAGTAAACGGCTACGGTTTGCGATTTTTGCGATGATAGATCTTCATCCAGCCGCCGCGAAGTACACGCTCCACGACGGCAGTCCGTAACTGTAACGGGGTCCATGGAAATAAATTCGCATGAGTTCTCGAACCAAAGCTATTTGTTTACCTAGCTTTTGAAGAGCCTAGGATTTGAATAGCCTAGGAGCGCAATGGCAAGCAAGTTTCTGATTCCGGGCACTTGGCATGGTCGCCAGTGGTGGGATCCTGTTGGCTAGTTTGGATCCCAGGTGTCGTAGTTAAGTGGGATCACAACATGTCGCTGTTTGCATACCGCGAAGAGTGTGAGGAGTTCTGAGGCGCCAAGAGCCTGCAACGGGTTTTGAAGAACTTGGAATCGGTCAGGTTCTGCGCAAGGGGTATGCGACACAACTCCGAGATCCGAAGCTTGTTGGGCCTTAAGTGGTTCAAGAAATGCTCATCCAAAGGTCGCTTCGTAGCCCGAAATTTAGAAGGCTCAAAGTGTGTAGAGCTCCTAGGTCCCGTTTTGTTCGAGTGACTAAACCCTGAACTCCAACGCCGAAGTCTTCCGATATTCGGTGCATTGGATGAGAGCACGCAGAATTAAACCATTTCAATTGTGGCAGCAGGTCCGCGTGCCCGACTGCTCCTGGAGCCTTGTTCAATGGGTTAGCCTTTGTAGAAAGGCGGCAGGAGCTGCCAGACCCCAGCTTGATGAAGAGAGGGGTTGCATCCCACAAGATTATTGCACAGGCATTGCACTGAAGTCACATCCACAAAAGAGCAAGCTTGACGATGATCCGAAAAAGAGCAGCCTGCCCTTGCAGCTCCCCGACAGGAGTTGTCGTTCAGCCAGTTTGCATATTCGATTCAACCCGGGTGACAGAAAATTTCCACTGCCGACGCCTTCCGGCCTGGCATGGAGGGACGGTCGGACCTGTCAAGGGCTCACGCCATGTGTGGGGTTGTTCTAATAAAATGTCTAGTAGAGGCAGGCATTTGTAAATTGCTATCTTCAGAACTTATTGAAAGATAAAATAGGACAACCCCTGATGTTTCTATGAAGCGGCCCATTGTCTCAAGGCCAATGCAGGCCGGATAAATCTCGGGTCAGCAACGCTGTGGTGCCATGTCGACGCCATGGGTACTAGAAAGAAGGATGCTATGCTATCAGAGCTTGATCACAGTTTCTGCTTACCATATCCAGGGTATTCCAGGGTTCAAGATACCCTTTTTTCAGGGGGGCTTGCGAGAATGTTTTGGTATTGGACAACAGTTGGCTCGTGTTGAAGGGCACCGCCACAATCCTAGGCGCACTGTTTATACGCCGTGTCCAAAACCAACATTGTCGAACACTAACAGACTATGAACTTTGTATCTTCTGGTCAACTCGTTCTGAATTCTCAGTCCGAACCGCAGGAAACGGACCGCTGGCCTTCTTTGAGTTTTTGGCTGCATTGAGGCCTTGACTGTATTGCTTCTCGCCGGCCGAGGAGGTAGGTTCTGATGGGCTTTGTCACGCCGACAGGCCCGGATCCAGGTTTCTAAGGCTCTGAGAAATTACATTTTCTTGTGGGGGACAGACCGTCGGCACTTGGGATCAAGGATGAATGAGTTTTGGGCTACAGATATGCATGCATGCATGTATGACATACATGACATGTATGCATGACATACGTGACATACATAGCATACATGACATGCAAGACCTATGTACCTACCTACCTACCCAACCACCCACCCATCCACCCACTCACCCGCCCACCGGCCTGCCTGCTTGCCTGCCAGCCTGCCGGGCAGAGATACTACTGAAAGGCTTGCTCACCACAGATTTCCCAGAAATACTGCCGGAATGCTTACTGTTTCTCCTGTGAAGGAGGTGCAAGCCGAAATCACACCGGAGTAGGTGACAAATGGGAACATAAGAGGTGCAGCACTGCTTGGTGGAGGCAGTGATACCGGAGATCGCTCCGGAATCTCTTCACGTAAAAGTGTTGCTGCTGCGGGAGATCCGCGTGCATTCGGTATCACATGCACTGTCGTCATCTCCGGAAGTGCCGGGTGTTACAATGTTTTTAGAACACTTCGGTTGTCTCTTCCTAAGGTCAACTAATGCCAGTAGACGGAACCGCAAACTGCCAAGTTGTCCCAGCATTCCAGACGCTCTTACAGACGAGCTACTAACAGCTGCTAGGAGTACGCCCTTCGACAGAACGTGTTCCCAGACGCATTTTGAAAAAAACGACGGCTGAACCGCGCACGATGCCAACTCACGTGCCATGCCAACTTATGCCAACGCTTCCAACAGATGCTAACTTTGAATCTGGTGCAATCACTTCTTGCGGGTACGTGTAGCATCATCAGAAAGTCGAACCCCCCTGCTTCTGCTAAACACCCTCATAATGTGAACATGGGTCGTCACACACACACACAATACACATGCAGCCACACACAAGACATAGCCTCGCATTGGCCTAGCATCTGCATACACATAACCTACGCAACGAAGAAAGTGCTTCGCCTGGCGGGTCGTAGCATGCTGGTATTCAGCACGGTGTCTCTTAGGACACTGAACCCAAAAGGCCCGTTGGCCTTTTCCTAACTTCTCAGTCGCTTGTCTCATAGGCCTGTCGACGTCTGTACCAAATCAGGTATGATCAGTGGAGAGGCGTTCTAAATCCGTGGCAACCTCTCCTGCTGCGGGGAAGCCCGGAACAGCTCCAAGC